TGTGTGTGAGTGTATATGTGTTTGTGTGTGTGTGAGTGAGTGAGTGTGAGGGTAAGTGTGAGTGTGTATGCGTTTACATAGAATGTGTGTGGGTGTGCGCGCGCGTGTGTCTATGCGTATGTGTGTTTGTATAAAGGGGGAGGCCTTAATTGTGTGTATGTTTGTGTGCACGTGTATTTATGCAGGTTGAAGGTAGACTTGTAGGCCTATACTATATGTAGACTGCTCTAGTTCTGACCAAAAACTAGTATTTTTAAAATGTATTTTTCATATTCTACAAACAGAAAATACAAGTGTTGGGGGGAAAGGGGCAGAGCAGAGGGGGGTGGGGGTGGAGGGAGGGGACGGGTCTTATTTTTACAACTGTCGTCTCTGCAGAGCAACAAGAGTGATCACTGCTATGTAAACAACGGGGCCGAGAACACCTTATACTGCTTCGAAGGTCAAGGAAAGCACGCCGCTGGCTTTTTATGGCGCACCTGAGTTTTTACCTGTGTTTGACATAATACAGGTAAGGAGCACAGAGCAGGCTTTGAGATCCCCGTCACCTCCGCGTGTGCGTGGCGGGACTGTCGCGCGCTGTGCGCAGACGACCAAACTTGAGAAACACCGCTTGCTTTGCTTGAGGTTACTATTGGCCTATAATATAAGATCAAGAATACCTTACGAAAGCAGACGACAGAACATTGCTAGAGAGCAGGAAAGGAGGTGAAAGGAGACAAATTTAGAGAAGAACATTTTTCGGTCGCTACCCGGATTCGAACTCGGGACCTTTTGAATGAGAGGCCAACACCTTAACCTCTAGGCCATGAGAGCCCCTTACCTCTCTGTTGGAACACTGGAATAATAACGCCAACTAATGAATGTAACTTTGTTTTAAAGGTTGTTTTTTTCTTAGACACCTTTCTCGACATCTACCCCAGAACGGGCAGAGAAATATAATGAACTAATGACAATGCAAAATGACTGCTGAAAACCAAATACACACCTGCATTGAGAGTGCGAGTCGGGGTTAGATTTCTGTAAAGCAGCTAACACAAAAATAGACAATTTTGAAGACAAACCAGCGCCTCTTGAAAAGCTTTTCTTATATTTCGTGCAGCTGAATCCACCTCTAATTACGAGGAGCCAAAGACATGCGACAAGATTCTCGTTTTTCGTATTTCAAGCTGTGAACATTTGCTATTTTGGTTAATAAATAGCAACAGCTTAAATCTGCCAAAGGTTTCTAAAGCGCCAGGACTAACAGAAGCAAGTAGGAATTTTTATTTTATTTCAAAAGATCCTCATGCTTCAGGACATATCTAACAAGCAGCATGAATTCAGTAGAGCGTGCACCCGTGTCTCGCAAAGTTGTGTATACGTGGTTGTATCCCGGTCTTGAATACATTTTACTGCTCTGGCGCTGATGCTTCGCGGAAAATTAGCCTACTCTCCGGATGGGAGGTTGGGCAACATGTCTAAAAAAAGTTTTATAAGATTTCTGAGACCACGAGACATAGGTCAGAAATGTCCTACCCCTTTCCTTACTTCATCGCGCTCGTTGCCATTGTGCAGAGACGGGTG